CCCCTACTGCCAGTACTAATACAAATGGCAATGTTATCACAAACACCAGCACGGCCGGAAATGACACAGAGTGCAATATTCCCCCTCCAAACAAATACAAAAAGGGGACCCACTTACACAGGAGACAGCATCCTCTCCTGACCCAAATAACCTCCCTCCAGTGAGGGAGGGCCTTTGGCCCCAGCTTCAATGACTTCATATGACACTACACATTTCCAAGACCTTTTTAAATGGGTAGTGGCTGAACTAAACATTCCTCTTCATGAGGCTGTGGAAAATCAGCACAAGATAACAGACCTACTACATTCAGTAACACCGTCAAAAAAACCATTGCTAATTAATCCAGCACTAATGGAACCGGCAAAGATGGTGTGGCAGGCTCACCTTTTGTCAATTACTTCTGCAGCTAAGGGAACTGATGATAAATATTATGTCCCACCCAAGGGTTCTGAATTTCTTTTTTCTCACCTAGCACCAAATTCCCTCATGGTGGAAGTTGTACAACAAAAATCCAAGCAGCAACAATACCGGTTTACGCCATCAAACTGCGATAGCAAAAGGCTTGATGAAATAGAGCACAAGATATATACGTCATCTTCTATACAATTTTGCATTTCAAATTATGCAGCAAATATGATTGAGCAAATATGATTAATTACACCAAACTGAATGACGATTGCAGATGTTCCTGAGGCTAAAATGCAATACTACAAAGCACTGGTATCCAAGGGTCTCACGATTGCAAGAACAGCATTACAGGCCACCTTAGATGCTGCTGACACGCCTGCATGTACTACAGCAACAGCGGTAGCAATAAGAAGAGCTTCATGGTTTACCTCCACTCCGTTCCCCAGGGAGATTCGATCTACAGTAGAAAATCTTCCTTTCGACGTCCAGAAGTTGTTTGCAGCTAACACCAACAAAATTCTCCACTCCATGAAAAATTCCAGTGTGACACTTCTGTCTTTGAGGATCCACAACCAAGTACCTAGAAGAAGGGTTAATACCTAAATTGCCTACCCAAGACCTGAATACCCCCCCATATGCACAACGCTACAATAGACAAGACCAGCAGCAACCGAACAAGGGGAGAGGCAGAAATAGATGATGCCCTTCCTCTACTAATTCCCAACAGTTGCAGCAGTCCAACAAGCAAATTTGATCATCAGGTCAAGGGTCTGGAGAGCCTCTCACCTACTCCAGTGCCATCGACGCAAGCAAATCTCTTCCATCATCGATTGTTGCCCTTCATCAACTGGCAATGTATAACCTCTGATAGATGGCTCCTGCAGATAATTGAGAAAGGCTACCTTTTTCCCTTTGTGTCCATCCCCCTTTCCACCTTCCTTCCCTGTCCCTTTTCAAGGACCACTCTCATGAGATCCTTCAACAAGTAGAGCACTTCTTACACATTGGAGTGATTGAACCAGTTCCCACACAGTTTAGGTGCAAGGGGTTCTACTCCTATTACTTCTTGACTGAAAAAAGGTCGGGGGGCTGGAGGCCCAGTCTAGATCTTTGAGCCCTCAATAAATTCATTCAGAAACAAAATTCAAGATGGTAACACTTGCCACCATATTACTGGCATTGGAACAGGTTCTCGTCCCTCGACTTGCAAGATGCATACTTTCACATTGCCATCCACCCTACTCACAGGCATTGTCTTCATTTTGTTATAGATTCTCAACACTACCAATACAAAGTGCTTGCATTCGGACTTGCTACCGCCCCGAGGGTCTTCTCAAAGGCACTGGTGGTTGTCACATCGTACCTGAGGAAACAAAGTGTTATCATATTTCCTCACCTTGATGACTGCCTCAAGTAGTGCTCACACCACAATTCCTGCCATTCTCTGTCACAAGACACCTATTCCAATACCTGGGCCTTCAGGTGAACGAAACCAAATTGATGCTCTGTCCTACACAAAAGATACAGTTTATAGGAGCATGCCTCGATTTGACAATGGCCACTGCATCCCTGCTTACAGACCATTTCTAAAAAATAGTGGCCTCAGTAAATACCTTACAATCCATCCCAGCACAACAGCACTCGAATGCCATTGGCTCTCTGGGCACATGGCACATGCAACTTAGTAGTCAGCAATGCGTGTCTGCACGTGAGATGTTTACAGAGCTGCCTAGGACAGGTTACAAACCCAATGTCCATCTGCTATCCAAATCCTTACCCCTTCCAGGTATAGTAAAGGAATCCTTACGCTGGTGGCTGAGCCTACAGAACCTTGGTTCCGGAGTCCCCTTCTATCCATCAGAACCATCCGTCTCCATGACGACAGATGCATCTCGTACCGCGTGGGGCACCCACTTACAACATCATACCTACTAGGGCCTGTGATCCAGCACTGACAAGAACTTGCACATATACGTCCTAGAACTGCATGCAGTCAGTAAGGCATGTGTCAAATTCCTCCTAGTCATTGCCAACAGCCACATCAGACTGTATATAGACAATATCACAGCAATGTTTTACATAAATAGTCAGAGCGGAGCCCCATCTCAAGCACTTTGCACAGAGACCATAACACTTTAACTGGTACCTGAAATACAACACATTTATCACCACAGTACATCTTCCACATGCCCTGAATACAACAGATGTCTTAGCAGAACCCTCCCAACTGAACACAAGTGGCAAATGAAGGCACACATGTTGGCGGACATCTTCCGCCTGTGGGGTCACCCTACCATAGACTTGTTTGCCATGCAGTCCAACAGCCAATGCCCCCTATTCTGTTCCAGGGTGGGAATAGGCAAAGGATCGATGGGAGATGCCTTCCTCATCGCATGGATGTCCCACCTGTTCTATGCGTTTCCTCCTATAACCCTAATGAACAGGGTTTCCTCCTGTAACCCTAATGAACAGATCTAGGGGTTGTAGTGGATCACAAGCTAAATGAGTCAACAGTGTGATGCTGTTGCAAAAACAGCAAACATGATTCTAGGATGCATTAACAGGTTTGATGTGAGCAAGACATGAGAAGTCATTCTTTCACTCTACTCTGCGCTGATTAGGCCTCAGTTGGAGTATTGTGTCCAGTTCTGGTCACCGCATTTCAAGGAAGATGTGGAGAAATTGGAGAAGGTCCAGAGATGAGCAACAATAATGATTAAAGGTCTAGAGAACATGATCTATGAAGGAAGACTGAAAGAATTGGGCTTGTTTAGTTTGGAAAAGAGAAGATTGAGGGGGGACATGATACAGTTTTCAGGTATCTAAAAGGCTGTCACAAGGAGGAGGGAGAAAACTTGTTCTTCCTGGCCTCTGAGGATAGAACAAGAAGCAATGGGCTTAAACTGCAGCAAGAGAGGTTTAGGTTGGACATTAGGAAAAAGTTCCTTACTGTCAGAGTGGTTAAACACTGGAATAATTTGCCTAGGGAGGTTGTGGAATCTCCATCTCTGGAGATTTTTTAGATTAGGTTAGATAAATGTCTATCAGGGATGGTCTAGGCAGTAATGGGTCCTGTCATGAGGGCAGGGGACTGGACTCGACCTCTTGAGGTCCCTTCCAGTCCTAGTATTCTAGGATTCTGTTACAACACAATACAAAGTGTACAGTGCTCTCTTTATATTATTACAAATACATGCACTGCAAAAACGATAAAGCAATTATATTTTTCAGTTCACCTGATAGAAGTACTCTAGTGCAGTGTCAGTATATTGAAGGCTTATGTACAAATGCAGGGGGTTGTTATATAATTGCACTCACCACCAAACCTATGTAAAGTTTTAAATCCTACAAGTCCACTCAGTCCTACTTCTTGTTCAGACAAGTATGTTTATACTTATGGGAGATAATGCTGCCTGCTTATTTAGAATGGCACCTGAAAGTGAGAACTGGCATTCACATAGCACTTTTGTAGCTGGAGTTGCAAGGTATTTGTGCCAGATGTGCTAAGCCTCTGTATGTACCTTTATGCTTTAGCCACTGTTACAGAGGATATGCATCCATGTTGATGATGCTCATTAAAAATGTGTTAATTAAATTTGTGACTGAGCTTCTTGGGGGTGAATTGTGTATCTTCTGTTCTGCGCACATTTTAACCTCTATTTCATGCTATAGAAGTCTTGGATGATGATCTAACGTTTATTTTGAGAACACTTTTACAGCAGATTTGACACAATGAAAATACCAATGTGAGATTTCTATAAAATAGCTACAACACTTGCCCCAGGGTTTAAGAATCTGAAGAGCCATCCAGAACCTGAAAAGGAGGAAGTCTGGAGCATCCTTTCAGAAGTCTTAAAAGAGCAACATCCCGATGTGAAAATAATAGAACCCAAACCACCAAATAGAAAATCTAGCCTTCTGCTAGTAGCATCTGACTCAGATGATGAAAATGAACATGTGCTGGCTTGCCCTGCTTTGATGATAAGGTCTGCTCGATAACAATCCAGCTTATATGCATAACCTTTGTAATGATGGTTGAATTATGATGGGACACATGATTTGGGCATCTGGCACATAAATATTTTATACACCATCTACAGAAGAGCAGTGTGAATGCCTGTTCTTACTTTCAGGTGACATTGTGAAGAAGCAGACAGATTATCTCCTATACATGTAAACAAATTTGTTTGTCTTAGTGATTGTCTGAACAAGAGGTAGGACTGAGTGGACTTGCATACTTTAAGTTTTACAACGTTTTAGTTTTAAATGCAGTCTTTTTTACATAATTCTACATTTGTAACTTCAGCTTTCATGACAAAGAGATTGTACTACAGTACTTGTATTAGGTGAACTGAAAAACACTTTTGTTTTACTATAAATATTGATTATCTATTTTTGATTAAGTGAGCATTGTACACTTCATATTCTGTTGTAATGGAAATCAATATATTTGAAAATGTAGAAAATATCCAAAGATATTTAAATACATGGTGTTCTATTTAACAGTGATGATCACAATTTTTAATCATCTGACAGCTCTAATTAAATATATATACCATATTAAATTAATTCTTCCTATATTTTCATTACAGCCAGAAGAACTAAGAGAAATCATAGAGAAGACCAGAGAGATGGAACAGAACAATGGCCACTACTTTGATACAGCAATTGTGAATTCTGATCTTGATAAGGCATATCAGGAGCTACTTCGTTTAATAAACAAACTTGACACGGAACCTCAGTGGGTGCCATCCACCTGGTTACGATGAAAAAGAACAATTCTAAGGGACAAGCAGACTTTTATCCAGCGGTCTATCAAAGGGAGATAGCACATGAATCAATACAGCTTAAATGATAAGATATAATGTGAGTGCTAGACTTGTGGATGCACCCCCTTGATAGTTGGTGTATTAGTGAAGAAAATCCATTAGGCAATTCACGAACAGAATGATGTGCTGTTTAAAGGTTTTCTTCTCATCTTTGGACTAGAAATGGAAACTCTTAGCAAGCCAGTACAATTTTTAACAATTTAAATAGCCTTTCTAGCAGCTGTTCTACACCAATATGACTTTTCTATCTAAAATCACCTTTCTTTAAAAGCTAAGATTTCAAATGTGTGTATATACAGTCAGTGTTGTCACATAGTTAGCAATATTATTTAACACTTAATGATCTTTTGGGACATGACAGTAGTTTGTGAATATGCCTTTTACAAAAACATGGGAGAGAAATTATGAGAGAATCTCCTCTTTTACAATACATAGAATCAAGTTGCTGCTTTGGTCTGGAGCTGCCTGGTTAGGCTTGACTTTCTTTTTTAATTATTTACATTCCACTTTCTGAGCGCACTGTAATTTGGGAAATGTGTATAATGTAAATAATTCAACCGTTGTCTTTTTAGTCAAACTTTGTAAATCAGATTTGACTGCACATTAACCTTAGGTCCATGAAAGAGTAATATGTACTGATGTTTTAGATGTGATATTTTTATGGAATTTTGTTTTTCTTTAAAGCTTATCAGTTGATTTGGGAGCCATTGCTTCCCACAGATTTATAGAGATGTTTAGGAGGCAGAAGTTATATTTTTATTAAAAAAAAAAATCTTTTAAAACATACTGATATAAAAAAATCTTAGTAATGTAAACAGTTATGTTTATAACAAAAGGATACTGACTAAATGGGCAGTTGGAGTGCGTGTTTTTATTTTTATATTTGGCCATAGTATGTCTTATGGATGGCCATACAGATAATTAACTGGAATTAAAACCACTGAATGTAGCTACTGTAAGTACACCAGTTGTGAATTTAGCACAGATTATTGTGCTGCATTTGCTCAATTCTGCAGTAAAAGTGGCTTAAAAAATACTGGTAACTGACATACAAAAGAGAACTGTTAAGAAAAGATCCTGAGAAATGGAAGCATATCTATAGCTATCCTGTCCTGCTAAGTTCAGCATGTCCCTAAAGACTAGCCTAAGCTGTGAAAGTTCTGCAGCTGTCAAATCCACAGCAGGGCTATTCTAAGCATTGAAAGTAAATGTTATCTTTTAGCTTTTTATTTGTTACGGGGATAGCATGAACAACCTTAAATGTGAATGTTGAGTCTTCTTATTTAGCCAGTGTTTTGTTGTTCCCTCAGTTAAACACTGGAAGTATGTCAATGTGTAGCTGAATTAAATATATAACAGTAAGAAAGGAAAAGTTAGTCTTCACTATTTGTGTATATATTTTCTGCACAGATTTTTAATAGAACAAATGCAAGTAAAATTGTTTGCCTTTGTGTCCACAGTTTATTAGCTCTAGGCTATGCAGAGAATGAGTACAGGATGAAAGTTATTTAAAATCACTTTTTACATTAACATTCCTATATTGCAGTGTGACAAGTAGCACAATCTCTGCAGCTAATCTAGAAGAGCCCCAGTAAATTGAAATGGAGAGAAGTCATATGTTGTGTAATAGATTTTAGAATCAAGGTACATATTTTCTTAGTGAACATGCTATGTCTTAAAAATCAGGAGGGCCATTCACTAACATGTCTCCAAGGCAGGTGTTGAAAGCCTTAAATGACACAAACTGCATATCATGTTTAGGCTAATAGCTAGCATGTTTTAAATTAGCTCTGAGTCAAGGTGCCCTGCATTGTATTAATGATAGGTACTTTTTAACATTTTAGATTGGTGTGAGAGAGCTACATAATTCAGGTGCTAGGGTGGCTACTGTATTATCCATCAATTCTTTAATGTTTGCGCATCTCAAGTTATAAATTAACTTTTCACTTTAACAACTCTTTTTTTGGTTTGTTGAGAGAGTGCAATCTTTAGAGAGGCATCTTTAAAGGTCACAAAGTAATTTTTCAAAATTTCACTCAGTATTACTGAACCCTGACAAATTATGTTGTTGTTAAATAATGTTAATGTTGGGTGAATGCTGGTAAATCTCACCATTGTGTGTCTTCCTCTGAATTTTCTAAGATGGCTGGACTTTAAATAGGCTTTAGTATCCAGTAGTTTTATAGTGGGAGTGTGAGATGTGCAGCTTGTATCCTTTGTTTTTTAAGTAAGAGCATCTGTTGGATTTCACAGTGCACCATTTATGTAAGTAAGATGGTAAATGAAGCTCATAGGAAGTCAGTATTTGCTCTGTAATGTTGACATGCTAGAGCAGTATTGAGAACAGCAGTTCAGAGAGCTAAGTCCTGAGTCAGATGGGTGTCTATCACCAGTTTGATCTAGTATTGCCTGACCATGGAGTAGTAGGAAAGCATTTTCTACTATTTTGTTAGGAAGGAAGGGTCTCTGCTCAGACTTGACTGCTGGAAGAAAACACTAGGCCTTGTCACCTATTTAAGAGCAAGTTAAAAGGGGAAGGTAGCTATACTTTTACCAATCCAGATTTACTGAAAAATTGGTTTCACTATCTGAATTAAACAAAACTATTGAGGATTATGAATGTAATTTTATGTAGCTTTGTGTAATGTAAGATGGGGCTCACCACAGGTTATAGTTAATGTTCTGAGTTGTCAAATCCCCAACTTGTACTTCTGTATCATGTATCTGCACTCTATTTTGAGACCTCATGAATGGCACACTATGTAAAAAATGTAAAATACTACTAGACAAAATAAATCACTACACTTTTTCTGATTTGCTTACAGTCTCTGCTATCACTCAGAAAATCTACAAGCAAAGGTTGCTTTGGTGACCAGGCATGCCTAAGTATTTCAATTTAAGAGTTGCAGTGTTGTCTTTTTTTTAAAGCAGTAATGTGGTAGCCCTTAGTATCAAATTAATTGCTTTGCAAATTAGGGTTAAGCTCATAGTCAAGTGGGAATTGAAATTCAGCAGCTGCCTCACATCATCTTGAAGCTCCAGCCACCCCTCTGGGTCTAGTTTAAACCCACAGGGGTGGCTGAGTGAGTACAAGGGGGTTACATCTAGACTGGCATGATCTTCTGGAAATGCTTTTAATGGAAGTTTTCTGTTAAAAGCATTTTCGGAAAAGCATGTCTAGATTGGCACGGACGCTTTTCCGCAAAAGTACTTTTCCGCAAAAGGGCCAATCTAGATGCGCTTTTGCAGAAAACAAAGCTGAGCTGTCTACACTGGCCCTTTTGCACAAAACAGACTTTTGCCTGAATGGCAACAGCATAGTATTTACACAAAAAGCACTAATTTCTTACAGTAGGAAGTCAGTGCTTTTGCGGAAATTCAAGCAGCCAGTGTAGACAGCTGGCAAGTTTCCAGAAAAGCAGCTGATTTTCTGGAAAAACTGGCCAGTCTAGACATAGCCGGGGAGTTTACAGGATTCTAGCTACAGTCATGCCTTCCAAACAAACCATAAATAAGGTTGCCTTTGTGCACATAATCTTATGCTGCAGTGTTTGACCCATCAAGACCAGAATAAGCCATTTGTATCACCACTTAATGCAACAGGGCTTTGAGACAAAGCTGTTAAGAGAGCCATTTTCTATGGGCCAGCATTTCAGGTGATCCATTGCACTTAACTCTTCCCCCCCCCCCCCCCCCAAACCCCTTTCGTGGTCACTTCAGGAGAGACAAAAAAGGTGTCAAATGGGAACGAGGAAAACAGTACTAGATGTGGTACCTGCTAGTTCAGGCTTACAAGGTACATTTCCTAGAGAGCAAAACTTTGCCCTGTTAGCTCCACAGTGTAGCTGTACCCTATTTTGGGATACCAGCAGTATCCTGAAATAACTATGCCATGTCTCTTGAAGTAGTCTGTTATTTTGAAATAAGCAGCTTATTCCAACATCCTGGTAAACCTCATTCCATGACTTTAAGGGGCATTTTGGAATTCTGAGTTTTCAAAATTCAGCATCATGTAGATAGTGCTAAGTTGCAAAATAAATTATGCAATTTGCATAACTTATTTTGAGCTAAGGGTGCTGTGTAGACAGATGTTTTCCAGAGTCATGAAAGTGTCAACTTCATAGCCTACTGAGCAAAACCTTACAGTAGACACCAGACACTAACCTTCAAAATTTTATTATACAGCACAGGCACAACTGTTACACAAAATGAAAGAGGTCTTCCAGGTGCTTGTGTGGATTTCTGCAACAAGGCTAGCCTGAACAATCCAGCTTTATCAGTAATAAGTTAGTTGTAGCAGAACTTTCCACTGCTACCTATTAACATGCATGTAGTTTAAATGTTTCCATCTTACGAGGAGTATTTCACAAAAGGGAGAAAAGTTATTACAATAACTTTCAAATACATCCTTCAAAAATCCAACAGCAGTAGAGATTGAGTAAAACCACTGCTAGTAGATAGGGAGAGGTTCTTGTTCCTACCATACACTAAAAAGACACCAGAGTCCTCCTCATCTTTCTGCTTTCACCCCTCACCAAAAAGGCTCACAAAGTTCTCATCTTGGGGGGGAAAAACACAATCAATGAAGCTGAACGACTAATACACCAAATGTAGAGCCACATATTAAATGTCCAGAATTACAACAGTTAGCACACTGCTGTCTGGATCTTCCCCTTTAACAGAGCTACTCAAAAAGGAGGTCTTCATCCTTCTCTTCTGCTAGGAGATTAGCAGGTTCATGTTCCCGCCCAGCAGCTCTCCGTAACACCCGCTCTTGCTCGCTCTTCTCTTTCAATATTTTCTTCTTCTCCTGGATCTTCTTTAACCTGCAGTGACAGAGTTGGGGTGAGTGGTGCCTCTTCCAAAAAAATCATCTTTTCCATCAGTTCTCTGGAGACCCCATTGGAATGACATTTAGGTTATGAATAAGTACAGCAAAATGCTCTCTGCTCCAATATGCAGACTTGTAAATACTGTAATCTTGTCCAAAAAACCCTCAATACCTCCTCCAGCACAAGCCATCCCTCACCTGTGCACACTGGGCATTCTATAGGCATCTTACTGCAGAATGAACTAGTTCCAAATCAAGCAACTGGCTTCAGCAACCCTCAAATTTTTAAAGCCAGAATTAGAATTTTCAAACCTCTTGATCAATTTCATTTTCTGCAGCAAGGAAAAAAAAGTAGGTTCTTTTAACCTTTTCTTAAACTTCATTTTTTTTTTAGAATCAGGCTAAGCCAATAGATATAACAGCAGCTTTCCTTTCCTGGAATCAAAAGGGATAGAGGGACAATTTTTTCCATCCAAAGGCACAAAGCCCAAGACTACAAACATATACAGCTTAACAAGGGTATTGCCTCTCACAGTATTCCATCCTTCTGCCACCAAAAAAGAAATATGGCTTAATAGACCCCATTGTCTCATTAGTGTTCAATTCCCTTTGCTCAATTTGAAACTAGATTAAGTTCTGCAATTAAGTGTTCACTCTAGTGCATTAAGCCACACCCTGCCCCTAAGTGCTCCTCTCCAGCTTGTAGGAATGAGAGAACCTCTGAACCCACCCATAGTGACAGGAGGGGGAATCTATCCAAGACATCTGTTGAAATTCATGGATCAGAAGGCAGCAGG